CAAACTTTAACTAATAATCATACATGAACAATTACTATTATCATTCATACAATTCATACACTCTTACAGGTAACAAATACATACATACGTATATGTCATATCATTTATCTTGTAAACTTGTTCTATATCATCATGTAAATCCATTATAATCATTCACACATACTGTAACATGTACTCATAAATTTCCTATCATAAAACACATACACCGAAGCAACTATATCAGCATCTTCATGCTTATCACTATCATTGATCCCTTTTATCATATGATTCGGTAATTATCATTTGTAAAATCATATATCACACATAACATTTCACAAGGAAACCAACATATCATCATATCAAGTTTATTAATATTATCTCTTATTTAGCCCATGATACACATGTGAGAACTAAAGATATGCAAGTACATAGAGGTTGTGCACTATGCTGTCACCACAGCTCGTATAATTCCCTCAAGGGGCACTGAATATTTTCCCGAAGGACCACTATATCCCGAAGGACCACTGATTGTTCCGAAGAACCACTATGTCCCGAAGGACCACTGATAATCCCTCGACTCTTGGCATGCCAACTATACCCCTAGTTCTCATATCACATAACATGAGCATTATTTTTTTTATACCATTACACATCTTCACATAGCCACATAGCTTTTCACATAACATTTCCATTTACACATGTAATTACTTAACTTATTTTCACATAGCTCATGTTCCATATTCATATCTCATAAGCACGTAGCTCATATTACTTATATTCACATATACATTCACATAAGCTCATGTATTCACATGGATTATTTCTCATAGCATATCACATAGCTTCTATTCTTTCTCACGTAGTCACATAGATCCATGACATGTAACATAATCCAAATTGCATATAATAACGTAGATCATTTCTTAGATGTTCATGTAAACCTAAATATCATATCTTATTCACATATAATCATATATATTTCATATAGTACATAGAAACACCTAGAACACTTTCACATAGCTTATATCAATTTTCGGAGTCCTTTCATATTACTTGATAACATATATCATATATGTATATAATAACTTCTATCATATCATCTACCTTATGCTCCATTTCTTTATATTCCCTTAGATTTCATAAATTATATCTTATTTCTAAACATTTGTCATTTAATAGTATTTTATTTATGTATTAATTTAATCTATTTACTTAATTCAATTTCATATATTTATTATAACCTTTTCATATAACTCCATAGATCTTTAGCCTATAACTTATCTTACATATTCGTATCATCCCTTTATATTTAAGTTTCCTACTTGATATATTATTCCCCTTTCATTCTATAATTCAATCTTATTTAGTTCCCTTCACTCTCAATAAATCAAAAAGCTCTATTATACTAATTCTCATAGTGGATCATATCACTATGTACTTGTCCAACTCATGTTTCTATTATGCATATAACTGTTACACATGTTTACCTAGTTCTTACCACTTCTCACGAATTCACTTTCATCATATTTTCCTATTATTATATATTTTATCTCATAACCATGTATTCACGTGGTCTTATATTTCATTATCATATGACTTATATTTGTTCTCCTATGACTCTTCGTAGACATCTATTTCCATTTCCATATATCACTTGACTTATCTTCTTTATTCCTATAATTTCATAACTTATTTTATATTCTTTCATCAACACTTAATAGTGTTTTTACATAAACCACATAGCACATACAAAAACATATCAATTCATATGATCAAACATACATGCATTTCATATTAATTACATAATCATGTACTATACTATCGGAAATAGACTTATCGCAAGTCACTTTCCATATAATCCTATGTAATAAGATGCACTCACCTTGGCCTCACTAAGTTCCCATCTACTTTATGATTTCCTCTCTTTCGATCGAATCTTAACTTGATAATCGTTCCGGAACTGGTTCATGTTCGATAACTACATAATCATACATTGATACATATCAGTATCCCATTGATATACTCTAATCTATCATTTCTTAACCAAAAGAAATGTCTATTTCAATTTCCCCTTGAAGTGCATCGATGCATTCTATCGTGTATCGATGTATCCCTTAACATGTGCATCGATGCATATCAATGCACTAATTGCATTCGATGTTTCATTTTTAAGGGGTGCATCGATGCACTTCCTGTGCATCGATACACACTGAACAATTTCTGAAAATTTACCCTTGATGCATCGGTACACATTGAATTACACTAATTTTTCAACATGTTCCAAATTCAATTCTATTGCTTCTAACTTCTTAATTGGACCCTTGACAAGTCAAATTTGGTCTAGAAATCCCATGAATGACTTTCTACTAAAATCTCATTTATTCACTTTCTTCTTTTAATCCTTCATAACTCCTTTATCTTTTGATTTTAAGATAACTTAAGATTTCCTTAAGCTTAGTTATCATCTAATAATCATAACCCAACCTTAAATTTAACCAGAAATTATCCAAATAGAAAACTTACCTTTGAGCTTGGAGATACGGGAGGAGAGGAAGAACAAGAAGGAAGAAGAAGTTCTGGAGAAATTTTTCCTTCCCACGTGGTTCCCTTATCTTATAAAGAGAAATAAAAATCTTCCTTGTCAAATGGCCATTTTTCCCTTTAATTCCCTTAATAATTACTAGCAAATTTCAGGAAATATTTCCAGGTAAATCATTGAACTATTCAATTCTTATACTTTAGTCACCAAATTTTGAAACTTTACCATTTGATCACTAACCCGACATTAGGATGTTACATTCTGCCTAGTGGAAAAAGGAAAATGTTAAATAAAGGATAATTTTATTAAAAAAATAAAGCTGGTTTAATCGTGTGAAATCAGCAATATTGCAAAACGCTCCATTTCCTGAGCAGAAAGCAAAATCAATCCTGTTACAAAGCTCCATGACCATCCAAGGTTGGTCATCAGATTTTAGCACAAGCAAACAGAAAGTTCGGGATCCAGTTCAATAGAAGGATTCACCTTGCCTTTGCATTCGGTTTCAAGAAAAAAATATAAAGCCATTTTGATATTAAAGTTCACCAAATCTGTGGTCCAGAGTCATCACAGAACCAAAGAATAAGGCATTAACAATAATTTTTTTTATTTCTCATAAGGCCACCAATGCCTGCAGTGTGGGATGAGAATATATCGAGCCGACCACATTAATATTCAAACTTCCAACTGGATATTTTTAGAAAACCAGAAAACTGGTGCTTAAGACAATTCAACAAGAAAGATGACAGTTTAAGAGGGAGACACCATGATAGATTCCACCACTTCAAGAAATCATACCAAACTCTCAACCATTCACAACCATAAATGATTTGATCTAAATTATGTTATGCTGCAGAATTTGAAGGTGTATTGAGTTCGTTCCCAGATTTATATAAGCATTTCTCTTCCAATAATTTTTGCATAAATATTTGTTGGAGACCGGAGTACTGTAGTGAACTTTGTTGAATTCATTGAAGATTCAGGATATGGACATTCAATGTCATCATGCCATGGGGGGAATGATACTGATGTAGCATCCCATGGTATATTTCTTTAAGCTTTGACAAAACAAGCCAGGGATTAATTCCTTTTGTGTTAAGTAAAATCTTATTTTCCATAGTGTAATGACTGTTTTTGGGGCATTGGAAAGCAAGTAGAAGCAATCTTTAATCTGCATGGCCTACTACCCATTCATATCCATCTCAGATAAGCCATGATTCATTGCCTTTTCAAAAGAGGCTTCTTATGGTCATAAATGTACACTCTTGCTCATATTTTGAAGTTTCTGAAGTTTGCTTATCAGTTTCCTCATGATCCTTTGACTGATGGAAGGGGAAAAAAGGCAAAGAAAATGAAGATCATCACTGCAGTCCTTGACTTTCAAATGATCAAATGGTGAAAGAGAATGGAGAGGGAAAGAGATTACGGAGATAAATGTGTTGGAGACTGAAGTACTGTAGTGAGCTTTAATGTTCCGAAAATGACTAAAAAAATGTCAGGGATTTGGAAAGCAAGTTGAGTCAGTCTCTAATCTGCATGGCATACTTCCCATTCTTTTCCAGATAAGCTATACTTCATTGCCTTTTCAAAGAAGGTTTTTTATGGTCACAAATGGACCATCTTGCTCATATTTAGAAGTTTCTCAAGTTTTCTTATCAATTTCTTCATGATCTTTTGACAGATGGAAGGAGAAAAAGAAAATGAAGATCTTCATTTCAGTCCTTCACTTTTAAATGATCAAATGGTGAAAAAGAATGGAGAGGGCAAAGAGATTACATAGACGAATTCTGGGTATTTTAAGTACCTAATGAATTTAGAAACTTCAAATCATGTTTAGAAGTTTACTATAATATTACAGAATTACTATTAGTATTAGCATTAAACTCTATCCCAAACTACAACTTCTTTTGTTTTTAAAAAATGATAGTGGATATGATAGTTGATCTCACATGGCTGACATAGTGACTGACATATCTAAAAAATGTCCCATCATCACTTACTGCATTATCATATCTATTTAACCGTGCAATTTGTTTCCCGAATCTCATATTTCTTTTCTTTTCTTTGTTATGTTATATTAAAGCAATGGAAGACATCAGAAAGCTACCATGCCAAATCAGAAAGCTTGAAATACACATCCACTTATGGTCAGAACATGAGAAAAAAGGGCGATCCATGATGTCTGTTGGGATCTTTTCTCATTTTCAAGGGTGATCTCATTCTAAAAGATATATGGATGTTATTTTGTAAAAGTATTTCGTTGAATTAACTGAATTAAATGTCGGTTCGGAAATGAAAGTTGGACTCAACTTTGGTTGCTGAAAGTTGACCTACCCTTTCCACAAAATCATGTCATCATCTGTTCTTTAAATATTATCTTTTACAAGTCTATGCTCTTACCTTTATTCTTCTTTGCTGAGTAATAGGTGACTCATGCAAACCAAAAAGTTAGATTCAACCACCATATCTATAACCCTTTAAATACCATTTCCCAAATCCAAAGATTCATCAATCATCTCAAAAACACAATCTCTTCCTTCATCATAGAAGCAGAAAGAGAAAAAGATTTCCATTTCATTAATTCATCAACAAAATGAAGAATCAAATACTTGATCAGGTGATTGGAGTTCCAGTGAAATCAACTACATATCGAGTTGAGAGAACACCGAGACGATACTTACCGGATGCTACCGGCCAGTATCGGATTCAATCATCTTCTGAAGGTTCTTGCACATTTAGAAAAAGTAGGTGGCTCCCTTTTAATCTGTGATGGATTTAGAAATTCATAAATATGATTTTTTATAGTACTAATGAGACAGTTGTGGAATTGCAGGCAAAGGGAATTTCATACTTAAAAGGATGAACGAACTTGGGAAGAAAGCTGATACTTTTGCACAACATGGTATGATACACACACTCAAGTCTAAAGTCTAAACACATGTATATGTATATAAAAACTAAGTTACCTTTGAAAATGCAGTGAGGCTGGGGCCAAAGATCAGTGAAACAGTGAAGGGAAAGTTGAGTTTGGGGGCAAGAATTCTTCAAGTAGGAGGAGTGGATAAGATATTCAAACAATTGTTTAGTGTTGGGGAAGGAGAGAAGCTGATGAAGGCATGCCAATGCTATTTATCAACAACAGCAGGTCCTATAGCTGGTTTACTTTTCGTTTCATCTCAAAAGGTTGCCTTTTGCAGTGACAGATCAATCAAAATCCCATCTCCTAATGGAGAATCCCTCAGAGTCCATTACAAGGTTTGTATATTTCATCTGTTTTGTTTTCCCACTCAGACTGAATAATTTTGCACCCTTCAACCCTCATCATTTTGTATGTTGAATTTTGATATGCAGGTTATGATTCCACTTGAGAAAATAAAGGGAGTCAATGAGAGTGAAAACATGAAGAAACCATCACAAAAGTACATGGAAATTGTGACGGTAGACGATTTTGAGTTCTGGTTTATGGGGTTCTTTAATCACCAGAAAGCTTTAAAATTCCTTCAGCAAGTAATGTACCAAAGACTACTACATGATGTACTACAAGTTACTTTCTAGGTGGCTTACGATCGATAGCGTTGCCCTTTGTTTCATCAGATTGTTTTTGTTGATGAAATGTGGAAAAATCCATCAATTTTACACATGTATAAAGATTTTCCTTCCATTTAACTCCATGAACAAAGATAGTAGCGGTCCAGATTTCACTATATTTTATTTTTGATTAAGGAGAGAGATATTACTATTTAAAGTAAATGTCGAAATTTAAACTCATACAAGATAGGATAGTATAAGCATTTTCAATCGCTCAACCGATTAATATATTTCTTCGGGATATTCTATTTAACTACAATAATACTTTGCGGGTTTGAAATCTAAACTACAGAAGTTTAAAATCTAAATACTGACCATGGGTGTGGGATTAGAGAAGTAGTTAAAATCTAAATATTACAGAGGTAAAGGTAATTCTCTCACCTCAATTTACTTAATTCGTAAATGTCAGAGCTTAAATACCTGGCCTTACTTAATGAATATAGTGTTTCATCACACTGGACCAACTAATAGTTGGTTAGTTTTTTAGTTATAAATATAAATATATTTTTAAAATTTAAATATTTACTAATATCTTTATTGAATAGTTATTTATGCAACAATAATAATTTACAACAATCAATAAATTTAAATTTAAACTATTGTAAAAAAGTAATTATATAAATAAAAGTAGAACGATGCACTCTATATGTATAAATAATATAATAGAAACATGATATTATATAGTTATAATTCTTTATTTAAATTAATACTTTTTCGATTTATAGAACGATGTAATTTATATGATTATTGGATAGGAGAAAATAGATATATGAGATTTACAATAGAAAATGAGAAGATATTTATAAAAAGGAAAAACAAGGAGTTAATCTCATTTCTATTTTCACACATCTAAAGGTCTCAAATATATGTAAAATTTAAAAAAAATTATATATATATATATATATGCTTGTGTGTGTATACAATAAATCCTCTATAAATTAATAATGTTGTAATTTTATAAATTTAAAGAGATATTAATTAATTCATAAATTAATAATTAATTTATTAACTTAGAGAGGTTTTTTCCGATTCAAATAAACCTACATTATTCTTCGTGACATGAATTCATTGAGTGACTTTGCAACCAAAACTGAATATGATGCAATGACTTTACAACCAATTACGTGGAAGAAATCACTCATAGCGGCAACAACTCTTCATAATTTTGTTGCAGTATAAGAATGCAACACCAGAATTTTTTGATGCAGTAAAGAAAGCTAAAGATGAAATACAGTTAGATTTAAATTTTAAGAAGAAACAAATAACAATATAATCATATTTTATTAAGTTATCCTAGATATATTTGTAATTCTAAATTTATATAAGGTCTTTCATAAAATTATTGTCTTGGGATCAAATCGGGACCGAGAAAAATGATTATTTTAGAAAGGTTATTAATTTATCAAGTATTGATTTATAACTATTCTTATATTATTTGTGTGAAGTAGAAAAATTATTCACGTTACTTGACCTCAGAATGTCAACCAACTTTTTTGCCGCTACCCAACGAGCCAAAACTTGGTTGAATTCATTAGAAGATTGAGGAGCAGGATGCCATGTGGGGGAATGGTACTGATGTGGCCATGGTGGGGTTTTGCAACAAACATCAAACTCATCCGTTTGGTATATATTCCTTTAAGCTTTGACAAAAACAAGTCATAGATTCCTTTTATGCTAAGTAAAAGCTTTATTATTCATATACTTTAATGACTGATTTTTGGGGCAATGTTTAACCTGCATGCCCAACTGCCCCTTCATAATTTCCATCTCAGATAACCTATACTTCACTCCCCTTTCTTCCTCATTTTTACAACTTCTGAAGTCTGCTTATCAGTTTCTCCATGATCCTTTGACTGATACAAGTGGGGTGGGGGTGGGGGTGGGGGAGGCATAACAAAGTGAAAGAAAATGAACATCATCACTGCAATTTGTTTACCAAATCTCATCTTTTCTTTCTTTTGTTACCACTAAAGCAGTGGCAGACATCAGAAAGGTACAATGCCAACTCAGAAAAGCTACAAAATCTACTCATCATCGATCCTTTCTTTAAAAATTATCTTCCCCAAGCCTGGGCTCTACCTTTAATCTTCTTTTATGAGCAAGAGGTGAGTCATGAAAGCAAAAAAGTTAGGTTCAACCAGCATATCTATACCCCTTTAAATACCACTTCCCTAATCCAAAGATTCATCAATCATCACTGGAAAAGCATCTCTTCCTTGATCATAGAAGCTGAAAGACAAACTTTTCCATTTCATTCATCCAAAACAAAAAATAATGAAGAACCAGATAGTTGAACAGGTCATTGGATTTCCCATGAAATCAACGGTATATGGAGTCGAGCTTACACCGAGACGATATTTACTGGACACTGTCGGCCAGTATTACATTCCATCATCTGCGGAAGGGGCTAACGCATTGAGAAAAAGTATGTGATCTCATTTAATCTGTGAAGGGTTTAAAATTCATATTGATGATGTTTCTTTAGTACTAATCAGAAAGTTTCTGAATTGCAGCGAAAGGAAATTTTGTTCTTAAGAGGATGAACAAGCTTGGGAAGAAGGTTGATACTTTCGCACATGGAGTCCGGGAACATGGTATGATACAGTCTAAAGTCTAAACATATATATATGCATGCATGTAAGTATGTATATGCAGCGAGGCTAGGACCAAAGATCAGTGAAACAGTGAAGGGAAAGTTGAGTTTGGGGGTAAGAATTCTTCAAGTAGGAGGAGTGGATAAGATATTTAAACGATTTTTAGTGTTGGAGAAGAGAGAAGCTGATGAAGGCATGCCCATGCTATTTATCAACAACCGCAGGTCCCATAGCTGGTTTACTTTTCATCTCATCTCAAAAGGTGGCCTTTTGCAGTGACAGGTCAATCAAAATCCCATCTCCTAATGGAGAATTCCTCAGAGTCCATTACAAGGTTTGTATATTTCATCTGTTTTGTTTTCCATCTCAGACTGTATAATTTTGCACCCTTCAACCCTCATGTTTTTGTACGTTAATTTTGATATGCAGGTTATGATTCCACTTGAGAAAATAAAGGAAGTTAAGGAGAGTGAAAACGTGAAGAAACCATCACAAAAGTACATGGAAATCGTGACGGTAGACGATTTCGATTTCTGGTTTATGGGGTTCTTGAATCACAGGAAAGCTTTCAAATACCTTCAGCAAGCAATCTCCCAAAGACTACTACATGATGCACTGCAAGTCACTTTCTAGGCGACTTACAAATGAGTTATCCTCCGTCTCATCAAATTGCTTTAGTTGATGAAATATGGAGAAAACCATCAGTTCCATTTGAGTGAACTGCATAAACAAAGATAGGAGGCAATCTAGCTTACCCTGGTACATATGGCTTACTGAGAGTAGAGAATAAACAATTCTTTGTTTAAATTTTGTAAACCTGTTATAGGTTAGGATTACATTTAGTTAAGATTAGCTCTACGGCTGCTGCTCTTGTATTTTCTATGTATATATTCTTGGCTATTGGCCATATCAAGTATATGAAATGTATCTCTTATTAGTTTCTACATATATATCACGAGCCACCCAAAGCCACATCATATGCCTTCCATTAAGTTCACAAAGAATAACTATCATGCATGGAAAACACAATTCCTGCCACTTCTCAATGCCATCCAAACCTTGGCGACCCAAAACTACTATTGGCAAAAATGGATTTTTGAAAATTTTGAGGCATATTTTCAATGAGTAAAGGTGAAGATTAGAATCATAAAATTATGATTTTATATTTTACTTTATGAAATGTCTACAACAATATATCATATGTTCAAAATTATTAAGTGGTGAATGAGAAATTGATTCTCAATGTAATTAAGTTACTAGTGAATTATGTTGAGGAAAATTGAGAGCTTATATCACGCATTGGTGGGATACCAAACGTTTTATATACATGAACCAACTCAGGTTATAGAATGTGCAGGACTAGATTTTACCTCACGCGCAAGCATGGGTGCAAATCAGTGTGAATCCATCCCAATCGGGGTTGGGGCACACCCATACGACATGGGTGACGTGAAATGTTTGGACTTGTACTATGTCCGTTTGATTCCATGACTATATACGAATAATTTTTTTCGTTCTTAATTTATTTTTCTTTTTTGCATCTTCATATTAACTGCTTTAACCAATAGTTTTGGCTTTAATTCTCACAATAGGCAACTCGAATTCAACATGGAACTGCCCACCTAGACGCAGTCGAGGACATTTTCAAATTTGCAACTTCAAAAATCATACTGCAAATCCGAGTTGGAAGTGGTCAAGGTTTGGAAATTTCCCACATTGGTATTGGTTTTTTATCTCACCCTTGAAATTCCCATTTTTATCGAATTATCTTTTACACGTTCCTCCCATTTTTCTTTAGATAAATTTTCAGTCTTTTGTGGAAAATCAAATTTAGCATGAGGAAAATGAAATGCGGACATTTTAAAACCGATCTTGCTGCAAATGACGACCGATAACGATGGTTGGAGCCTTGGAGGACTTGTCGATTTTCTGCGATAACCAAACTGAAGCTCAATGCATAAAATTAAAGCATTTTAGAAGTTCAATGCCTAATATATAAATATATTAAAGGTCAGTTGGTTTTAAAGAAATCGTACAGACCAGACTCATAGTGAAAAATATAAATTGGAGAGGTGTGATAAATGCTTATGCATTGCGTGTAGAATATGAGTATAATGTTGGAGACTGAACTACTGCAGAAGTGAACTTTAAAAGTTCTAGGAATGATAATAAAATGTGTGATATTTACCAAATTTTTTTCCGCCACCCTATTAACCTAAATATTGTTGAATTCATTTGAAGATAAAGGATTTGGACACTTAATGCAATCATACCGTGTGGGGAATGATAGTTTCTGGTTTTGCTACAAACATTAAAGTATCAAACTTATCCATTGGTATATTACTTTATGTTTGATAAAAATAAGTCATGGGGTTCCTTTTATGTTAAGTAAAGGGTTGATTATCCATAGTTTAATGACTGGATTTGGGGCATTGGAGAACAAGTTGAGGCTTTCTTGAATCTGCTTGTTCATTTCCACACCAGATAAGCTGTGCCTCA